GGGGGGGGGGGGAGAGGGGTATAAATTGGGGTGGTCGTTCAAGCTGCACGTGCAATTCAAAAATTCAAAATGGCCACGCTTGCCTTAACACGAAGGAAATTTGAATGCCGACGACAATAATTCCTAATTGTTTCTTGGATTTCTTTGTGCGGTCGCTAACCGTCCGCGCGGAGAACCAACAAGGACAGGGGCAATTCCGAAAGATGCCCAAAATTAAAAAAATGGACCCTGCTTTTCTTGATCAACTAAAATCCATGCTTCGGGACCTACTTCGATATTACTCCGAAGGGTACGAGAAAGCCGCTAGGTACGGATCCTAGCTTATCACATGCTTCAGTCAATTGGCGGGTAGCTACGCCTGCTGGAAAGCGGGTCCAGCGTCCCCTCAAATACAATAATGAGATGATAATCAGCACGTGCTGAGCACAGCGCCCAGCGTCCCTACCTATGCCACTTATCCAACTGATAATGAGACGATGAAGATGCACAATACTGATGATACTAAGCCTGTTGATGCTGATGAGGATTATTATTATCTGATGATCATCTAACTTGTTCTGTAAGTACTAGTTGACTACATGCTCATCAGAAGTTGGCCTCACACTCCACGAGCCACTCCTAGCCTCGCCCTAACCAGCCACAACTTCCAGGGACGAAATCACCCTGCCGAATGAATACCAGCCAGAGCCGACATGTTCTCACCACCAAGCCCATAACCGGCCCCATAGGCTGACTTGGCAGCCACTGGATAACCAAGCCCATAACCGGCCCCATGTTCTCACCANGACATGTTCTCACCACCAAGCCCATAACCGGCCCCATAGGCTGACTTGGCAGCCACTGGATAACCAAGCCCATAACCGGCCCCATGTTCTCACCACCAAGCCCATAACCGGCCCCAAGAGTTGACATGTTCTCACCACGAGCTGCGTATCAGAGACACGGTCGGGGTTCAACCAAGGGCCGGCTATTCCCAGTGATCCCCTTTCACGACGAGCTTGAGTCTTCACAGCGAGTTCTTCATTACGAGTAACTATCCGATTTGACCACCCAAAAACCCTCGGATACCTGTCAGAACACGCCTTCGAAAAGCACTCTTCGAAATCAGAGAGTGTCCAACCTGCAATGATGGTTTTCCGGATGGACCTCTGCTGGACTCTCTAAAATGCTCCCGATTTGGAGAGTGTGACTCGAGTCTGGGCGTACAAATGCAAATCCTGCCATGATGTCCTCTAGCACTGTCCTGGCGTCTGCTAGTGCAGTCTCGGAGAGTGGATAGTTAGTGCAGCGGATAACCAAAAATCACAAAATCGGAGAGCGTTTCAGCTCTCGGCCAACTCTCCGATTTTTCGGAGAGTGGAGAGTAGTGCAGCGAGACCCATTCTTACTCTAATCATCGTTATCAACAACTTTATGTGGGGTGGCCAGCCTGGCCTCCCATGTGCGACGAATGTGAGTTCTTTCCCAAAAAAAAAGAGGACGGCCACGGACACCAGATAATGGGCGTCGCTCCACTACTCTCGACATGCACAAAAGACAAAAATTATGGCGGCGTATCTTTCCATGTTCTGGTGGACGATTTGGAGGCTCGCCACACAGGCAGTCGAAAACCAGGTATTACACAATTTTGCATCACCACACAGACTTTCGAAGAATTGCGGTTCAAATAAAATTAAACAGGTGTCAGAATGGTACTTTCGACAGCCATCCTCCCCCATTTGTTTCCTCCCGCCTGCAGGGGACGGAAATTCGAAAGTGCCATTAAATCCAAGCTACCCAGGCGGCACAACATTCAAGTGAATTTTGAGAAACTGAAAGCAGCAATTTCAAGGCACTGGATGGGCTTTTTTTTTTTTTTTTTTTTTTTTTTTTAACAAACAAACAGCTCCATCTATTGGTGGGGAGCAACACCTGCTGGAAACCGGGTCCAGCGTCCCATAGATACAACCATACCCTCTTAATTTGGCACAAACTGGGAACCGGGCCCAGCGTCAGACGCCCCCCTGATACAAACCTGCAACACCTGATTTATTAAAGAGGAGAAGTAAGTTGTGTATGGAAAGCTGTAGGCCCAGACCTCCCAACAGGAACTGGTGTCCAAAAATGGACGGTCACCGGATCCTCTTCACATTGTGAATCGTTGAGATTTGTAGAGGATAAATTCATACAGTACCTAAACCAATCATCATATCTTTGGTTGAAAATCAACCGGACCAGAAAGCAGCCAGTTTGCTATGGCTGCAGACACTCTACGTAGTGCTGTCTGCTGCTGAGTCGCTCATCTCAAGGAATTTGGATGTCCCTAGAGCCTGTAGCAGGTGCAGGTGGGCGTGGGAGGGACCTCCCACGTATGGATACACTGCCTCTGGCGAAGCTTATTTATCTTATAGTTTGGCTGCTATCTGTGTTATGGGCTTTATTGCATGTTGTTTTGTTTGGTTTAATAATACAGCATATACTAGCGAGTTTTATGGACCTTCAGGGCCAAATATGGCAGTCACTGTGATGGAGGAAACATTGGTAGGCCTTATCCAATGAAGCCTTTCGCTGGACGGATGACTGGATAGAAACAGGAGTAAGTTCCACTGATCAGAACTATAGCTCGGGTTGGGGGTATATTGGTCAGATTTGCAGAGGGTTATTATACAGATGATCTGCCGTTCACGCAACAAAGTCCTCTTCAAGGGAGAACTCCCAGGCAGGGGACAACTTCAGACTCAGGGGATACTCACACTAGCACGCATATGGGACGCTGGACCCGTTTTCCAGCAGGTGATGCTCCCCACCAATAGATAGAGCAGTTTCTTAAAAAAAAAAAAAAAAAAAAGAAAAGCACGCATTTTCATAAAACATAAATTTGCAGGTGATTTTTTGTGTGACAAGGGCTACGTATTTTGCGTTTTCACGCAAATGGGCACGTAAATGTCAGCGGCTTGGACAGCCGCGGGGTTACGTATTTTGCGGGAACCTCTGGAGGTCCCCGCAATTGCTTATTTCTTTTAGACCTGTTTCGATCTGGAAACAAAAAACAGAATTCGACGTTTGGTGGGCAGCTCTTGTAAGAAAAAAAGGAAAAAAAAAAACAACAGGAAAAAGGGATGGATTTTTATGCATCGAGCTGTGTGACCCCTCGACCCGTATGATCGCATTCCTAGAGCAGGTCGAGACTGTGTCCTTTCTGTTTTGTGACGTATACGGGTGCGCTGTGTGACAGGGAAGTGCCGTATAATCGCAAATTGGCTCACATATAATTTGCGATTGTACGTGCTAGTGTGAGTATGCCCTATGCCCTCAACTTCGGAAACAGCTGAGGGCATACTCACAGTAGCACGTACTTCAGCAAATTTTACGTATGTGAATTTGCGTTTATATGGCACCTGCGGGTCACACTGCTCACCCGTTTGTTGCCCTTATAAGGCACCTGCGGGTCACACTCTGCTCCCCGTTTGTTGCCCGATGCAGAAAGGACAGGGTCGCGACCTGGCCTTGAGATGCGAAAATGCGTTGTGTGCAGTCAGACAGCACAATGCACTTAAAAAAAAAAAAATTGCTTTCCGAAAGCAGTAGAGGAAAAAGAAATGCGATTTTGCGGGGACCTCTGGAGGTCCCCGCAAAATATGTAAGTCCGCAACTGTCCAGGCCACTGACATTTACGTGCCCTTTTGTGTGAACTTGGAAAATACGTGCCTGTGTGACACGGAAAACCACATAAAATTTGCGATTTTGCG